CCCAGGGTGCACCACGTGGAGGTAAGTCTATCCCACACCCTCTTGTTCAAAATATATGATAGCTCAATTTATAATTGCATTTCCATTGGTATTCCTTGTGGTGCATATTGTCTTGAAAATTCTTTGGGAATTTCCAAGTGCTTAAATGGAAAATATGTTTTACCAACCAGGTTCGGCAGAAAAGACAGGATTGAATGAAAGGGCATAAAATCCATAATGGAAAGAATAATAGGCCAAGAAAAATTAAGGTGCACAAGAGTGGGGAGAAGTGGATTCTTTACAATAGCACATGTTGGCATGATTGGTAGCTATGTCTATTCATAGCCTTCCAGTAGGAGCGTGTTTTGTAGATTACATCAGAGCCGGTTAAGTCATCAGTGGTACCAATATCCAACTAAAGACGTCCAGACGGGCTCAATGACCACCCACCCATCGGCTGACTTTATAAATCATACCTCACATCTTATACTCCTATCAGATAAATGAAAATAGAAAAACAATAGGTATGTTATAAGTCATTTTTACATAAAGTCATATAGTAGTCTCTTTACAAATAACAAGCAAAAAATCAACTCCAATAAAGAGAAATGCATGGGCATTCTGAGTGTGTCACTATCACTGTTCACTAGTCATCACAAAAAGTCAAGGTATAGAAAAAGAAAGAAAGCAAATGCACTCGAAAAAGGAGAAATACAGAGAAGGGGCGCTTTTTCAAGCTATCGCAGCGTCAGCACTGCTATTCTTAGTCATCGTGGAGACCTTGCGTTGAAGCATTTCCCCACCAGTAGCACTTTCTCCAACAGCATGTCTTCGTCTGTGAGCCCGCCCAACTGCTTGAGTATCAACGATCAAACTCTCGGGACTAGTTTGTGGTTTCTCTAAAAATCGATCGATAACGTATAGTCTCTGCTTGCAGTCACGATATCGATTGTACTCGCTTCTAAATCCATCGCGATCTTGTTTGGAAGGAGGTCGATCTAAAATAAAACAAAAACATTAATAAATGCTTTCACTTTTATTACCAAGTCAATTTGTTTCGAATTAACTGTATAGACGTAAGAATAGTTACAAATTGAAATGGGTGGGATTTGCACTCGATCAATCTGTCTTCACCCTCAATACGGAGACAAGGCAAGTAATGCGATGTATAAACGAATACAAATAAGGAAAAAGAAGCACACACTGTGCAAAGAGTGAGAGAGCGACCACATTGTCTTGTATTATAAGGTCTCACCTTGAGAGCACGGTATGCAGTTGAGTGCATGACATTATTATACAATCGCCACAGTGGCCACCCATGCTCGGCTTCTCTATTAGCCCACTACGTGTACAGATTGCGAGCCTACTGGTAACATGACCAGGGTTTATAAAACTCAACAAGTTTAGTAGAAGACCTCCTTCACAGGTGGATATGAGTTTTGAATTGCTCTATTTCCGGCTATTATCATGCTTTGTCTTGAGCAATTACCACAACTAGTCTCTAAGTCGAGCATCATCTTTTTCCATATACGCTGGTGCACGCCGCCTCGATAATAGGCTCGACAATAAGTTAGACTCAATGATGTTTTGATTACCAAGCAACAAAACATGATAACTATTTATATTCACACGCGTGGACTACGCTTAGTTGAAGTTGGATGGCTCTTTTAGTCGTAATGAATAAATCTCATTAGCCTTTTGTTTAGCTATTCCTAGTTAAGTTAGTTGAACCATTGTTTGAATTTATTGTGGTTTGTGATGTAGAGATCCATGTAGATATCTCGAAGCATTCCAAAAGGGCAAATTTCCATTTGATAAAACAAAAATTATCGGAGGAAACAAGTTAATAAGTCCTTTGCACAAAATGGCTCAACAAGTGTTTAATACTAAGATTAGTCTTACAGTCTTTAGAGGAGCTAATAATCTGTTGTTAACAGAGGCCCTCAGCATTATTGCCTAAAGACCAGCAAATAGGATAAGGTGCAACCGAGAAGAACTTAAAAAATTGAGACACTAAATCTCTCTTAACTACTCCTCCCTTCTGCATGCCTTCGTGAGTTGGAACAATTCTCGACATATTAAAAGTGCCTCTTTAAGTGGATGAATACTAACTTGTAGATTCCTGAATCCTTTTCTCAAAGTCATAAAGAAAGCGTTGAAGTTTGTGTTTCACCAACAAAATTTCGCCCTTTCCACGAGTAAGATCTTCGGGTCCAACGGCTTTAGCCGTCTTGGCGAATTCGAGTAGGGACAAATCCCAATTGAGGAAGAATGAGTCAGATGGCGGATTACCCATTATAGAGTTGGTTCTCTCAGTGGCTTCCGAATGGGAATAGTTAGTGGATGACGTGACAAGGAGAGGCGAGGACTCGAGAATGATCATATGCTGTTCTGGAGGGAGATCAACAACTTCTGGTAAACATTGAGCAGGATGGGAAGGTGTTGATTCCTTTTTTGGTGGTACTTCGACTAAATCAATAGAAGGTCGTGCCGCAGACCCATTTGAACGACTCCGACTGAGACGAACTGCTGAATTGGAGGATAACCGTACCATTCGACGAACGCATCTATATCGATCGTATAGCGGTTTCATTATCCTCTTCGTAGCAGAGTCCATGGGCCGTCCTTTGGCGCTTTCGAAATAAAGCAGACATTTTTGTAGGTCCAGCTTTTCTTGAGCCAACTAGAAAGAAAGGCACAATGCATAGACATCTAAACTAGGAAATATTTGTCGATTTAGTTTTCATGACTGAATTTGAGGTATTTTAACTTTCGGAACCATGATCAATATTCAAGATTTTATCACAATGTATACCACGGTGATTCAAACAGGAAATCGCCAAGCCATACTCTCACACACCATCCTTCCCTCTCCCCATCCCATTGATTCCAATTAGAGTAGTAGGACAAGTCATTCGTATGCTTCTAACTCGTTGTAGTCACGTATTTAATGACCCCAGCACATAGCTTGATGCAAACACCAAATCAACAATTAGCTTATTATGAGGATTTTTAAAATGAACGAGAATTACCTCTGACGTTGTCATCTGTTCCAAATCTTCAGGCCTTCGACACTCCTCTCTTCGGGACCTTAAAACAGCAATTAACATTGCGAAGAAACCGCCTGTTTCAAGATCAGGTAGGCTTAGATTGTCTAAAGCAAGGTTCGAAGATTGTGGTTCTGATTCGATTTTGGAAACTGCTACTTCTTCTATTGTGCGTTTTCTGTCATTTAGAGAAATGCAGACGTCCAATGAACGACGATTATGAATCTGTAAATGCCAAGAAAATTAGTGTCAGATATTCAAAGATCCACTTACATGAATATGCTACTGGTGGTTATAAGCAGACTTACCAGATTAAGTATATTATGTTTCCTCGGCCAAGTGGAGATGTGCTGAGGCTTAGGAGTAACGGGCTGGTACACAGGATTTCCGATTAGAACACGAGGTCCAGAACTCGAAGTTACTGCTGAATTTAAATGATGGTGCTCTGATGGAGAAACGACTGTAACAACAGCCAAATCGGTAGAATTACTTGTCTGCAGCGGTGATGATTTACTTATTTCCGATAAAGTAGTATCATCGTACCCCTGTTCAAGGCAGTTGACCACACCATATCGCAATCGGTTGTCAAGATCCTAATTAGTTAAAGTCTCATATCAAAATATTAAATGGCTACTGAATATTATTAAGTAAACTATAATTACCTGATCCAGAGATGAGGGGTGTTGGGAGAAGCGATACCTGGCTCGAGGGAAATGATGTAGAAAAGAAGTGGAGGTCGTATTGATTTCTTTCAGTTCCTCCTTCATCTCTAAATCCTTGTTTTTTTGGCAGGATTGATTCTCTTCGCTTTCTGGTTCTTCAGAATCCGAGAGTGAGAATGTTGGATGCTGGGCTAAGTGAACGCCGTCAACGATGTTCTGGGAATATCGAACAGAAAAAACAGTATTAACATTGGGTGGTACGAACTACCCTTCATAAGGCACAAAATGTCAGCTAGCATAAGATTAAAGTTCTTCAATGCATTTATAACGTGAAGAAGATTTAAGACTTTAGCTTTAATGAAAGTAGGAAACAAATTGCCAACATATGTCAAACTTAGTGGCCGAGATATAGAATGCAAAGTACACGTCTAACGATTTGAAGAAACCCTTGACGCATTCTATCTCCGTATTTACTTACAGCTGATCAAGTCAAGGAAGTTAAAGTATTTGAAACGCTCGAAACCGATACAATTCACGTTTGAGCACTTTGAAAATCTTATCTGAGAAAGAGCATAGAATAAAAAACGTTGCTGTTACAAGGGCAGGAAATCGGGAACTCGTTCAATTATAAATCCCAATCAAAGACCTACAATTTGTTATTCACAGTCCCACTTGAGCGTCGATAGACTCTATTCTTACCATTTCGTATCTAGGCTATTATTTGGTGAAGAGGATTTACCACAAAAAACAGACTCATTTACTATATTATGACCGAATTAAAGATTCGAATTAATAGCAAGGTGAGAGAGATAGCTAAGAGGAAAGTGGCTTATCGCGAATGCATCAACATGGCGGAGGGAAAAACCACAAACATAGATGCAGTCAAGACATTCATAATGCCCTCGCGCGCTTTCATTGTACAGAACTTGTGAACAACTAACGAAATAATCCCATTGTTGATTGGAATAAAAAGATTTTTTCTCATTATCAAAATTTGCACTGTATGTGATTATTTTGTTGAATTAATAATTATGGATTATGAGTTAGCGTTACGGAAAGTAATAACTATGTTCATAAGTAGCCAATGATTGCATAGTGGTAGCAACAGAATGTGCATCCTAGTTTATACACTCCTGAACGACTGTTCAGAAGATAAGCTGACTAAATCATTTAACATTGGTATACTTGGAGACGGAATGGTGAATCAGAACGTCAATGCTTATAATCACGCCAGTCTATTTACAACGGTTGAATGATTCAACCACACAATCAGAATCGACTTTCCCGTAAGGAAGTAGACCAAACCCAGGGTCTAAGGTTGTGTGACTACCATCGAGGAGTTCGAATAAGCTCCTTTTGAGCATCAGAAGGTACGAATAGACCACAGACTATTAGAAAATTGTAGACAATGCCTCAATTCAAGCAAACAGTCAATTATTACTAATATAGACACCCTTAAAGACCTATTTTACTATTTCTCATTTGTAATGCAACAAGTACACACACACACACACACACACACACACACAAAAAANAATTCAAGCAAACAGTCAATTATTACTAATATAGACACCCTTAAAGACCTATTTTACTATTTCTCATTTGTAATGCAACAAGTACACACACACACACACACACACACACACACAAAGTAGAAATCCCGAAACCAAGTGAGGCACGACTACTTCTTCTCAGCCTCATTCCCAACTCACTTACTATTTCACTATTTAACTACTAAAAGCCAAATATTCCCTTGTGATTGAAAATTGAGCGAGTTTTCCTATTGATTTTGAAAAAGTAATCTAGAAGAGGTAGAAGGACAACTATTTCACGCGTAACATCAAAGCAATTTGTAAAAGTTGCTGCTTTACTGAAGGAAATTACTACGTACATAAAACAACAAAGCAGGCGAAGAACGTTGTTCCCTTCCCAGGCGCAAGAAAAAGGCTTGCAGGTTAGCAAATGAGAGGCAGGGACGAAAAATAGCGCGGAGAGGAGGAGGCCGATGCTTACTTCTTTCTTACCCGTTTAAGGGAGTCAGAAATAAGAACTAAAATTTATTTGGGATCGCTTTGCATCATTTGGTTCCGCAAACAATTGACATTTAGTACAAACACTAAGCGAGTTGACAATATTTAGAGATATTTTATTTTGCTGAGTAAAGGTAAAGTAAAAATTTCACTTCTTGATGTAGGAATCAGATATAAAGAAAATAAATTACCTAGCGTGAACAGAAGCTGAAGCGGTTAAATTTAAATTTAGGGTAAAAACAACAATAAATGTCAAAAGTAGTTGGTTCTGGCGGTGTGTTTTCGTTAACAAAAGCTTTTTCCAATGAAATGTGAAAGTATAAGCGAAACCCGAACTGTCCCAAGTCAATATCTGGACCGCGTTTTATCCGATCAATTTCGAACCGGGCTGAAATGGGCCCTAGAAATGAAAACGGTTCTTAGGATAAAAAGTACCAATATTCCATTTCATAGGGTTTCAGCTAAAAAATCGAAATCTCCGAAGTGTTCGCGCTACTGAAAGCCATACAATCAACTATTCAACCTGACCAAGCAAATTACCGAATGGAATAGACGTAGAGAAGTATAGACACTACAGTGCTAAATATACCGTCTACATGACTATGTTTCAGTTTGATTGGCAAAGATGCCAACTTAGGTATTCAAAAAATGATTTCCACTCTTTTAAGCAGAAAAAAACCGGAAACAGCTTTCGAGTTTTTACTTAAAATGAAGGCAAAAAATCGATATGATGTGATGTGAACATTTATAACATGTCAGGATAAAAAGAGTATTCCAATTGAGTGCGTTCTCTCGATGGAATCTCTGTTAAATGAACTAAGTAGAATTTTGCACTAAAGCAACAGGCTCATTAAAGTGCTAACAAATAAAATGCTTACTAAGTGGCTAATCAAGGCCTAGCTTTACACTATACATGAATACGCGGGTGCATTTGGGGTTCTCATTCGATTTCTCCCCCCATTAGCTTGGTTGCTTTGATTTTTGTCGACCCTTAGCACTAAAAATTTGAGCAACTTGTCAATACTCCAAGTGTTCACTGTATAAAGGAAGCAATAAGGCATTTTGAACAGCTCGATAGGACATGTGCCATGCACCTAGTACTCCATGATGATGAGTGACCAGGGCTCATTACCAATCGGATTAAAGTTGTCATTAGGGTATTTTATTTGTGTACATTTAATGTATGCAAATAGAGACCTCGATTGAACTGTGGCGACCCAAATACTCCAGCAGCAAAAGCTTGTTTATAATCCCAGAAATCGAAGATAGTGGATCATTCAGTAAAGATAAATATGACGCTATAAGTTTGAAAAATTAAAAAAACACGCCAGAATTCAGGTTGGTTTTAGTAAAGCGATCTATCTTCTGCTTTCGTAAAGTATTTGTCAGTGTATGCAACATTAACCTAAATGCCAACCTCTCCCCCACCACTTACATCCGCGAACTGGTCTAAATTACCCCCCTCCCCCCACCCCACCGTTGTGACCTTTCAGAGAAAAAGCGAGAGAGAGAGATGGAGGGAATGGCAGACCTGACTTCTGCGCGTCCGATCTCGAGATTGTGGCACAAACACATAAAGTCATAAAAAAGCTTTATACGTGACCTTAGAGGTCGATTCTGCTGTGTGGTCTGTCAGACCCAAACTGTTATATAAAATGGCAAACGCATTTTTTCGCACTATCCTGCAGAGATTGCCAGCTCAAAGACGTGGAGACTCCACCATAGAGACAAGCCATACGAAAGCCAAGATAGAAACCTCTCCGGAAACCACACAAAGTGATTAAAACGCGAGTCAGGGATATGAGAGAGAAGCCAAATATGCAAGGCTAAAATATATACTTGTGGAAGTGAATAGATCAATAAGTAGCTCAAGGAGATAATTAACGATGATTGGCACACAACGATGAAAGAAACTATTAGAGATATGGAAATTTGAAAGAGGACCTGCATTATGAAAACAATGATTTTTGAATAAGTAAAATCTTTCGAAGAGGGATGACAATCACAAATCCAGCTTAAGAAAAACGCCGATTTTTTTAAAAATAAATGGTAATTCTGGGCCAATACGCAAGAACACACCACACCAGGTCAGAGCCAAGAAGACAAGGAAGACTGTGACTGTCTCTAAAGACAAAACTTCACCTCAGAAGTAGTCAATGGAACTAAAGAAGTGTGAGGTGGCCAAGTACACGCGAATAAGCACTTCCCCTATTGATGGAATTATTGTTCCCTCGGATGGATTAAATCTCACCAATGACACAAATGTCATATTTCCGAATGTCACTCTTATAGAGGGCATTAAGTCCAGTGTCCTAGTCACTTCATAAGGTCGTTTGCAAGAGCAGCAATTTATACTCCTTTGAGTAGAGAACGGAAACCCATGGATAACCCCCCCCCCCCTCCTATACCATTTGCAACCGCTTTCCCAACTGATGCAATGAGCACTGCTTTTTACCTGTACATATTTTTCTGGCCAGGTGAATGAAATGTATAC